GATTGAATTGGTAATTTATAATCAGTCACAAGAACGTCGAATCTGAATCACTTGAAAAAAACACGGGGGTGCTTAACTTTTTTCCAGGTGTATATAATGGTATTTTGTACTTTATTAGCTTAAAAGCATTATTTAGAATAAATGGTGCCAATTGCAAATAAATGAGTTAAAATGGTGATGATGATAGTATCTGTGTAGACTGCACGCTATAGTGTAAATATCTTTTTAGACTGCAGTCTATAGTAGCACCATTGTTTCTTATCTAAGTATGTTAGAGAGAGAGTTAAATTATATTTAGGTTTTATTTTTATATCTTAGTTAATTATGTATTATTTATGTTTTCAAATGTATAATTGAAAAGTTTAAAATTTGTAAAATAAGTCTCAGTTCTCAAGGCTTACAACTTTGCAAGATAATTTTGCTGAAGGCTTGCTCATCTCAGCCGAAGATACTGTAATATGCCCCAAGGGCACTGTTGACTTGTGTCAAGATGAATAATGAATGGTAAAGGACAAGAAAGGAAATAAAACAGTAAAAATTAACTATAGATGAAAAAGGAAAAGACCTGAAATTACAAATATAACCAAAAGAAGATCTTTTAAGATATTCTACAAAAAAATTAAAAGGTTTTAGGTTTAATTAAAAACTGCTTTTCTATTTTCTAAGTGACTTAAAATTTCAGAAAATTAAATAGGATAAACAATTCCTTATGAACAAAATTTCACGCATAAGGAATGAAGAAAATGGACATTTTTTATTTACATTACTTACACACATGTATGTATATACAAGTCTGAAATATGTATATTTTTCTTAGGTGGTGAAGGTCTCTTTCTTGAAGTTGTGGATTTGGCCAAGAAAACTGTCAGCTTTATTCCAGTATTCCAGTATGTTTATGTTAAGGATTCATTTGTTTTATTTCATTACTTAGAACTGTCTTTATCTGTTGTTTAGTTTTGTAGTTATAGCTGGTCTGTACTTAAAAAAAATCCTACATTCTGTTTTTTAACATGTTGCCACAGATGGGTTTGTGAATAACACATGAAAAATGTGGAATGATTGTGAAACTTTATCTAAGACAACATCACAACTAAATAAAATAAACATTGAAGTCAACATGTAAAAAAGAAATGTAAAGAAGAAATACGGAAACTTTTAATCATTGGTTGTTGATCTTCCTGAAAAAAGTGTGGTTGAAATGTTTTTTCTTGTAGTGTGGTATACAATTACTGTTTCTATTTGACAATATGTTTTTGAATATGTTTTTGACTTACATATAAATACATATATATAGCTTTCAAACTATTTTAAACGTTAATTTTAATAGGTGATTGAATTACCACTATAAAGCAATAATGCATTAAATATCACATTACCGTTATTGGTCCAGGTTGTCAACATATTGTCATGATAATGTCCGTGGCAATTCAGCCAAGTTCGTTGGGGATATCCCATCTATAAGAGAAAATCCAAATGCTGATTTTAATCTAGTCAGCTGTCATGGAATATAAAATAAGGGTATGAAGCTGAGTGCTTACACTCACAATGTCTCAGCTTCTACTGCCTTTCACTGTCTATAGCCAGTTATGGGAAGGCAGTTACCCTTAAATTTCTTGAAATAGAAATGAAACCACCCTAACATTTCAACTAATTAAACTCCCAAACTTCCACCCTTACAAAAAGATATTAAATAGAACTATAAGATAATAAATAGAACTATAAACCCTACCTTAAAAGTTCTTATATAGTTAAAAGCCTTGCTAGCTATTAACCAGTTATTTCAAATATGCTACATCAACATATAACAAACTTATTTGTAAACGTTCCAGATGTTTAACCTGTCTAGTAGCCATGGATTTTCAAAATGTATATCAAAATGTACCACTATATAAAGTAGATAATGTAATTTATTTATTAGCTTGTGGTTTATGTGGCCTTAAATATGTAGGACAAACAACTAATCCTTTACGTCTAAGGATTAACCTACATAGATCACAAAGTAATGAGGGTTTCCCCTCATTTGATTGTAATAAATATTCATATAATATTGTAAAAATGACTATATTAAAAATAATCTACAATACAAATCTGTTAACAGAAAGAGAAGAATATCGTATTCTGAAAGAAAAAACTATTTACCCTTATGGATTAAATAAGAACTTTCAAAATAAAACTGCTGAAGTTATAAGTAAAGATTCCTGTATTAGAAATTTATTTTGAATAAATATTTTTAACAATAAACAAAATAAAAATAGGGATATGGGTAAAAAAAAATTGATTGGTTTTGAAAGGTTTTGTAAAAATTTGTATTCTGCTCTTGACAAATCTGTTAATCTGGGGAACTTGTAATAAAATAAGTATTTGAATCAATAAGTGCAAACTCAAATATTTGTCAAAGTATCTGTTTAACTTTGAATTTAAAAATATCCATGTTAAAGATTTAATTACAAATTTAGATTAAAATATAAATGTATACCTATACTCCTTTCAGTAAAGAAAAATGAAAAAATCTTATATAGTAATTGATTTTAAACATAAATTTTATGATGATTATTACTTAACTTACCTAATCCATAAGAATATTCAAGAAGACATTTTTCCCATAAAATCATTTCAACCTATTGTCAGTTTTACATATAATAATCCTATAGGACCTCTTTAACTATAAAAAATTCATTGAAGAATGTAATCAAATAGATGTTGACAACTTATCTTGAAACTGTAATAATATTGTTTTTATATCTTTCATAATTGTATAGTTGCAGGAAACTTAGAAAGTACTAAATATAGAATTTAAAACACACACAAAAATGTGAAAACTTAAAAGACTTAGAGAAAAATATTGATAATTATATTCTTAAAATAAGTAAACAATCCTATTATTCGCCATGTTTCTTTTTTGAATGGAAATTATATTTTATTAATTCAATAAAAAATCCAGTAAGAACCTTAAACTTATCTCGATATAAATTAAAAGTTTCTTTCAATGTCTTTAAAAATAAAATAAATTCAAAAACAATTCTTTATTACCACAATTGATAAAGCTGTTTGTAATTTTGGTTTTGTGTGTAAAATACTATATGCACAAATTTTACTTAATGAAATTAATACTACAAGTACTTTTTATAAATGTACTTGAAAGAAAAATAATGTTATTATAAATTTAAGGAAGGCCATTAAAAAAAAGGAATATCCATACAGATTATTCTTGTTCAAATTTACCACCACCCCAGTGGCACAGCATCTGTGAACTTACAATGCTAGAAACTACAATGAAACAAACAATTGAATTTACCATTTTTATATGCAATTCAAAAATTGCATAACAATCCCATGAAGTTTAGATTTATTACTAATTCTTTAAATAATAAAACACTACATAAATAACCTGAATTAAATACACATTTTTCAAAATGCACAAACATAAAATACATCCTTATATAAATTAAATACATTAAAATATGCTAAAAATAAATTAGTTAAAGCATGACAAATATACTTTATTTTCTGTTCCTGTATCAGTTTTCTTTTTGATTAAGAGTTTATTTTACTTTTGCTTTCTCCTGCTGTTATAGAAAAGCAGTTTATATACAAAATCTTTAACAATTTAATACATGATATACCTCTTTCTTACATTTTTGTCCTTGTTTTGGGATTTCTAGTAATAGTTTTTATGTTGCATAATTCAACTAACCTTACTCAACTGCTATTACTTCTGCTCTACTGCCTCTATTTATTTAGTAATGCCAAAAAAGTTAGGAAATATTTTTCAAATATAAATCTTTTCTGTTCTTATATTACATGTCCAGAAATGGAACACATAAAAATATGGCTCTTTTAGAATTTTAAATATGCTCAAATTACGTTCATTAAGATGGTTGCTGGCATATATTGACCTTTGGGGGGGGGGAATCTAACATGGGATTTATATAAAGTCGTCCTTAATCTAAAATTATCTGTTTCACAAACATAGATTTTGCAATTTACACATTCTGAAAGATATATTACATTTTTAGAACTGCATTAATTAAATTATTAATGAAAATCAATATCTTTATTTTTTTCTTTGTTGTTTTTTGTAGTTTTAATACAACTTAATTTACATAAACCACAATTCTTACTTTCATAACTGAAAATACCTTCCTTAGAGAAATCTCTTCTTTTAGGCTTATTTAATAATCTGTGTAAACTGAGGAATAAAAAAATGACAGGAAAATAAGAAAGAGGTATATTTTGTATGAAATTATTTAAGATTATGGAAATAACTTGATTTTTTTGTGATAAAAGGAGAAAGTATAATTCAAATAATGTTTTGATCAAAAGCAACATGATAAAAGAATAAAACATAAAGCGTATTTCATAAGATTTAACTAATTTATTTTTGGGTATATTTTAATGTGTTCAGTTTTTATAATGATTGTATTTTATGTTGGTACATTTTCAAAAATATGTTATTTATGTTTAATTGAAAAGCATGTTTAAATGTTTTTATTACAGATTAGCTGTAAATTTATATCCTGAAGATTCACCTTTGCGATCACAAAACTGATAAAAGAAAATAATAGAGAATAGAAAAGATGGAGGGTTCAAGAATTATAAT